TCATAGACATTAGGGCTGGATGGGACCTCGGAAGATTCTCGAGTCCAGCCCCCTGCCTGAAGGGCAGGAAGTCAACTGGGGTCATAGGATCCCAGCAAGATATGTTGCTAGCAAGTGTAGCACTGCCAAGCCTATAAGCATGCTGCGGGATTTTCTTCCCAAGGTGGAATACCTTGCATTTTTCGGAGTTGAAGGCTATCAGGTTTTCGTCCACCCATTTTCCGAGCCTGTCATGGTTGGCCTGGATCCACCATCCTGTCCTCGGGCGTGGACACTTTACTCCAAAGTTTGGTGTCATCAGTGAATTTGGGCAGTCTGCTTCTTATACCAGTGTCCACATCATTAATGAAGATGTTGAAAAGAATAGGCCCAAGGACAGAGCCTTGAGATACCCTACTGGTCACAGCGCAATATGCTGATTTACTTCCGCCAACTACCACTCTCTGGGTCTGACCTCAGAGCCAATTCTCCAGCGAGTGCACTGTGATGTAGCCAAGGCCGCAGTTGGCCAGGTTTTCTATGAGATGATCGTGGGATACCAGATCGAAAGCTTTTTTAAAATGAAGATATATGACATCAATCTCTTCTCGCTTGTCCAGGTGATATGTCACCTGGTCATAGAAGGAGATGAGGTTGGTCAGGCAAGACCTACCCACAACAAACCCATGCTGGCTATCCCTCAGGAAGTTGCTTTCAGGCAGTTTGTTAAGAATGGTCTCTTTGATGATTTTTCCAAGATCTTCCCCAAGATAGAGGTCAGGCTGATGGGTCTGTAGTTCCCTGGATCTACTTTCTTCCCTTTCTTAAAGATAGGCACCACATTGGCCTTTTTCCAATCTTTGGGCACTTCGCCTGAGCACCATGAGTTCTCAAAGATCCGTGCCAGTGGCAGAGCTATGATGCTTGCCGGCTCCTTAAATATCCTGGGGTGTAAGCTGTCTGGGCCAGCTGACTTGAAGGTGTCCAGCCTCCCAAGGTGTTCTTTCACACGGTCTACATTGATGAAGGGTAACAATTCTCCCTCACCCTGGCCGTCCCTTGGGGCTGGTGAAAAAATGACACAAAATACCCATTAAACAGGTTGGCTTTTTTGTGGGTGTCAGTTGTCAGTTGACCCATATGGTTTAGCAGGGGTCCAATAATACCCTTGCTTTTCCTCTGGCTCCCTACATACCTAAAAAAGGACTTTTTATTGTCCTTGATACGTGTAGCCAGTTGGAGTTCAGTTGCAGCCTTGGCTTTCCTGGTTTGCTTCCTACAGGTTCAGACCAGTGCAGAATATTCCTCATTTGGGGTGAATCCAGCCTTGCATCCTTTATAGATCTTTCTTTTTAGACAGAGGAGGTCCACTAGTTCTCTGCAGAGCCAAGGGGGCTGCCTTTTGCTGTCCTTTCTCTGAGACAGGATAGACATTACTTGAGCTTCCAGGATCGCTCCCTTGAGGAGCAACCACTCTTCCTGAACTCCCCTCCCCTTTGGGTCGAGGTCCCCTAGGGCCTCGCCAACAAGCCTCCTGAGGTTGTCAGAGTCAGTTTTCCTGAAATCAAGGACTTCTGCTTTGCTGACTGACTTGCCAGCTTTACGGCAGATGGTGAAGGTGATCAGCTTATGGTTGCTGTCTCCCAGCTTCCCTTCGATCATTAGGTTGCTGATTAAGTCATCCCCTGTTGCCAGTACCAGGTTGAGCAGCGCTTTGCCTCTAGTCGGTCCATAGACTTCTTGAGTCAGATAGAGCTCATCCACACATGAGGAACCTTTGTGACCATTTGGATGTGTCCGAGTGCTCTTCCCATGAGATGTCAGGGTAGTTGAAATCTCCCATGATAACCATGCACCAGGAGTGCACAGCCTCAGCTAGTTACCTGGTGAATTCCTGGTCAAGCTCTTGATCCTGGCTAGGAGGTCTGTAGCAGACTCCCACCATTGTGTCCTCTGTGCCTTGTTCACCATGGATTTTGACCCAGAGAGTCTCCAGTTGTCCCCCCTGGGTGCCAATGTCAGCTTTCCTTGACATAGAGAGCTACCCCCCCCAACCCCTTTTGTCCCCATGCTCTCTCCTGCACAAGGTATAGCTATCTATACTTGTGGCCCAGCCACAGGTGGAGTCCCACCAGGTCTCCATTATCCCTATGATATTGTAATCCTTCTTGTTTAGCAGAAGGGCCAGTTCTTCCTGTTTGTTCCCCAAGATCCTGGCATTGGTGTACAGGCATGTAAGTATTGGGGGCCTTTGCCTTCCCTACGGATTGCTCTGGAACTGGGGTAGAGTGCCTTAGCCTGCTGGATTTACAAAAGCTGCCCAGTGGGCCTTCAGTGCTAGTACACCCCCATCCCCCGGTGGGCTCAGTTTAAAGCCCGGTCGAGCAGGTCAGCAAGCCTGGCTGAGAAGAGCCTCCTCCTCCATGGAGTGAGGTGGAGGCCATCTCTTCCCAACAGCCCACTGCCTCTCTCACCAAAGAGTGAACTGTGATCGTAGACACCAAAACCTTCACGATGACACCAGTGCCACAGTCTTTGGTTGACTACGTTGACCCGTCTCTCCTTTCTCAGCCCATGACCCACAACCGGGAGAGGAAAAGACCACCTTTGCCCCCAGCCCCCTGAGCCCCAGTCCCAGAGTCCTGTAGTCTCTCATGACCTGGCTGGGATTGCTCTGAGCCGTGTTGTTCGTGCTCACGTGGATAAGGAGCATAGGGTAGTGGTCAGAGGGCCAGATAATTTTTGCGATCCTCTCTGCTATGTCCTGAATGCGGGCCCCTGGGAAGTAGCAGACCTCCTGGGCTAGGGGGTTGGGGTGACAGATTGCCTTCTCAGTCTCCCTCAGGGGGAGTCTCCCATGATGACCACTCTGTGTTTCATCTTACGGAGAGTAGGGATGGGTGATCCTCCCTTGCCTGGAGGAGCTGGCATCTCTGCAGTTTCTACTGGGGCTGCAAGAGGTTCATACTTGTTGCAAAGGCCCAGAGGGGAGGGGACCCTGGTGCGGCAGGCCTTGACGCCCTTGACCACCTTGGTCCAACCCCCTGGCTGGACAGTATGGGAGATCCCCAAGTCCTCCCTTGTCCTGGAAGGTGACTTTGGTCTACCCTCCACCTCCAGGGGGTGAAGGGCCTGGCAGTAGGAGTCTATCTTCTGCTCGCCATCCCTGATGGCATGCAGTCTCTGGACTGTATCCGGGAGCTCCTCTGTCTGGCATCCCAGAGACTCCAAAGTGGAGCAAACCTAGCAACGGGAGGTGGCCATGCTCCCGGTCCCAGGAACCTGGAAACATGCCAGGCTGCCCCTGCAGCCAAGAGCCAGAGGCTCCGTCCGCATGGAGCCTGAAACCATGGGTTCCATCTAGGTGGAGGCCTCTGAGGTGCCAGAGGGGGAGGCTGCAGACTCTGAGGGGACCCAAGGGGAGCGGCATGTGCTCATCCGCATCGTGCCACTGGTAGGCTGGCTACTGATGGGACTGCCTTCCCTTGGGCTCACTGGCAGGACCTCAGGCCCTCCCGCTCACCCTCCTGTGCAAACTCCTGTGCTAAACTTGCACACCGGGCCCAAAAGCGCGCCTGTTTGCACATCCTGTTCATAAGGCTCCAGTCGCATGTGGGGCTGGGCGAAATAGGAGCCGGAGGCAGGGGGGGTGACCCTCCTCGGCTCCACTCAGCTGCCTCCCTGCAGCTGGACTATGTTCTCTCCCACCACGGGCCCCTGCTTACCTGTGGGCAGGCTAGGCTCATTGGGGGTCCTGGGGTCTCTTGAGGGGTCCCTGGGCTCATGGGGGCACAACAGGTTTGCACCCATGCGTCTTATGCCAGAGCCAGGACCTGAGTGTGGCTTCTGCCATTGCCAGGCCCTTTTTAAACTATGCACATGCGCAGAAGGGCCCATTGATGCTGTGCCACTCTCAGGGGGCCAGGGGAGTCCCTCCCTGCCACCAAAGGAAGGGACAGATGAGTGCCACCCCACACCCTGTCTCACATGCTGGCAGCCCAGTCATGTGGCTCCCTGGGGGGCTGAGCCAAGTAGGAGCTGAGGGGGTGGTGATCCTCCTCTGCTCCACTCAGCTGCCTCCCTGCAGCTGGACTACATCTCTCCCACCACGGGCCCCTGCTTACCTACAGGCAGGCTAGGCTTTTTGGGGGGTCTTGGGGTCTCTTGGGGGGTCCCTGGGCTCATGGGGGCGCAACAGGCTTGCACCCATACATCTTGCACTGGAGCCGGGACCCAAGTTGTGTAGTGGAAGAAGTCTGCACAATTATAGAGCCTTTGTCAGAGGTGTTCAGCAGCAGAGGAGCAGAAGCAAAATAGGTGGATTGGGGAAGTAAACAAGAGTTACATGGACAGACAGAACTTGTGATGAGAATGAGTGGTATGAGTTAAGGGTAGAGGAGAGAGAAGAGTGGAAGAATTCTACAAAACAGTCAGAGGACTGAGGTGAGGAAGGAGCAGGGAATCTGACTGCAGTGGGGAAGTTAGAGACTTCTTATATCTTTATTGGAAACATTTGATATTAGCCACTGTAGGGAACAAAGAACATGGCATACATGCGATTTGTTTTCTCTGTCCAGTCTGCCAAGTCCTGTGTTCTAACAAAGTTCAGTTCTAATTCAGGGATTTGAGGTGGGAGTATGGCGGGGACAGGGACAGAAGGGGGGCGGGAAGGGAGAGGGCAGTGGCAGATTTCTCTCCTTTTTTTGGAATCTGTTGAATGATATGGATACAGACTTATGAATATGACAAGAGTCTGTACCAACCTGAAAGATCCCCTTTGTATGATAGACTTTGGCTGACAAGACCATAAAAATGCTAAAAGCATGACATGGTAGAATGCATTGAAAAGATGCTTATTTCAGAACTAAAGTCTTTGATGCAGGAGTTTCCCCAGGTTTTATTTTGAGATAATAAAATGGGTATAGAAGCATTATTTATAATTTGTACATTTTACAATTTGCCTTCATGTTTGACTTGTTAATTTATATTCTGTTCCTCTTTCTCTTGTTTCCCTAAAACAGAATGATTCCCCTTTCATCTCAGACGTTGATGATGAATCTTCATCATGGTCAAACACAGGAATATGTGATCAAGCCCAAATATTATCCAGTAAAAAAAGTGATTTCAGGAGAACAATCCACTGAGGGTTCATTGCCTCTAAGAATGGGCCAGGATCAACTTACATCACCTTTCCAGTGTGAGTAAAACTGCAAATAATAGCATTCAGAAAACATAGTTTCAAATCTTGGAAATATTTGGTCTTACATCTGCATGGCACTAACCTGTCAAAACAGATAAAAATCAAAAGAATAGAAAGATAATTTTTCATACAAGCAAGACATCCAAAATTTAGCACAGTTTTCTGTTGAGACAATTTTCCTGGGTAAATTAAAAATTGAACTTGACTCATCGTTGGAATCATCTCTAGGTGGTGGATTCTTTTGAGATAAAAGATACTTTGTGAACACTGTTGGTTTAGGTATAGCATAGTTTAAGTTGACAGATCCTTTCCTTCACTATGATGGACAGAACAACATTCCCTGGAAAGCTGGCAGCCACAATTGCAGCTTCATTGGTGACTTTTTTTCCCTATTTAGTTTATGATGCATTTATCCACTTCTGCATATTAAAGAGACTGTATGAGAATTTCTAGTTTGTATTTATAAAGAAAGATTGTATAGGTGCCCAACTTGTGGTATTGGCTCACATCACATCGTGTGTGGAACTCAAGGACAATCTCTGGCTGAAGGGTGAAGAATGTGATGAATTATGGGTTAGGTATTACAGAGTGTCTGGTGGTTTGATTTGGAGAAAAGTGCCTGGAGTTAAACAACCAGCCACTCAGCTTGGGCAGCTAAAGGCACTTACTTACATTTTGCTTTCAGCAATCTTCTTCTTTTCAATATGTTATGGTGGAGAGAAACAATTTGTGCTGTGAATTTAGTGGAGGAAAAAGGGCCAGGTGCCTTTGCAAGAAACTGAAAAGGTCTTAATGTGGTTTCTGCATAGAAGTGATTGTTTAATTCACTGCTTTGTCAATGCATATAGTATTTGTGTCTTTATATTTAAAAGCAAAAACCTCAAGTACTTTTCCGTGGCTTTTGGCGCACTAACAGTTAGTTAGAATCTCAACCCACACAAGAATAACCACCTGTCAGCATAACACTCAGCAAAATTAAATTAACATCCCCAACTGGTAATTCAAGACAACAACATATACCATCCAAAAACCCGAGTAATTACCATTTTTCCATATGGTTTTTAGTCAGATTGTCAACATCAGGTGATGATTCCTTGTGCAAAAGCCATACCTATAGTTCCTTCAAAGTAATCGTCAATCTACCCTCCCAAACAGACATACCGTATTTTATTGCATACAGCATGTACCTTTTCCCCCCAAAATCCACTCCCCAAAATTGGGATGCATGTATTAACTGGGGAAGCTGATCTTTTTCCCAAGATAGAAGCACTCTGCTTTGATTCCTGCTCCATAGTGCAGCAGCTAAGGGAGTCAATGGGCCAAATTGTTCTTCAGTTCACAGGTGTCAGAAATCGCCTCTCCTTTTTAATAGTTATTCCACTAATCAAGCTAATCTTTTTAGGGGCATTTTGCTGTCTGCTAGGGCTTCTGGTCTCTTCTTGTATTTCACAGATCTTTAGTTCTTTTCAAGATCGTAGGTCCACCCATGGAGACCAGTCTTCAGCAGCAGTTAGGATTTTAGTTAAGCAGGCAAGGGAGAGCGAGTCAGCTGAAGTTTAGGCTCTGTCCCTGCTTTCTGTAGCCAAAGCTCTGGATTTTTGCTTTTTTACTGTAACACCTTTCAAGAACAAGGTCCATATTATATTTGGGGGTGTGTTATATGGAATAAAAAATATGGTATTAGCAATCTCCATCAGTAATGGACCCAGACCTTCCCTGCCAATCAGCCATAAAGATCATGGTCTGCAATCATGTATTTTTTATGCAGTTTTCTTCATCCCTCTGTGACTGATGCTGGTCAAAACTCTAACACGAAAAGACTTCTTTCCCTTTGCTCTCCTTCCCTCAGAATCTTTCTTGCTATCCACAAATTCAGACAATTTGCCTCATATGTGACCATGTTACCTCTAAAATAACAAGACTTCTTCTCAGTGTAGGAGGAACTTGGACCAGCCATTAAGCTGCCACCAAACCAATCTGTTGTCAGATACTATGATGAAGGAAAAGATCTAGTGTTGTATACTATAAGTAGCTCTTTGCAGCAGCTGCCAGCCTTAGCACAAGAGGCCACCTGTCAACACTGTAGCTCTTTTGTTTGTTTCATATTTGCTTCATTTGTTATAGGTGTTTTGTAAATTAGGACATGAACACATGAACAAGTTATTGCAAGGTAATTGAGGGTAATGGGAATTTAAAAGATCTATTCAGCCCATCAGTGAGTTGTCTGTTGGAGAAACAACATTCATCTTCAGAGTTGGTTGAAAAGTCTCTGGTTCTAGTAAGCTTGGAAGGCAAGTAATCAAAACATGCGCTATGGCTTGACATGTTCAGTCATGACATATATTTGGTTTTGTGGACAGTGCACTGGGTTATCTCTCAGTATAGGTAGGCTCTATTCTTGGGTCTGTTGTTGACCTGCTCCGTATTTGTAAAACAAAGATAATGATATTGACTTCCTTTCTAAAGCCATTTGAGCTTGACTAATAAGAGCTCTATATAAGAGCTCCACCAAAGAGTTTGTCTAGCCTGCAGCAGCTGTATCCTGGCTGGGATGGGCCCAAGCACACCTTGTGTACCCATGTCTGCAGGCCTATTCCTAACCTGGAAATATGCCTGTGAAGATGCTTGGAGACATTTATCTGAGGCTGCTCTTGAGTCCTTGGTCTCTGGCATGCTTGAGAGGGGAGACTGGGGACAGGCCTGGTTTGGCCCTGTTGGTATGTGGCTGGGCTTGAAGTGAGATTACAGGTTTTTGTAGGTAAGGTGTGCTGAGTCCCATTTTATCAGGAAACACTACTGCCATTGTGGAGAAACCCACAGCGGCCATGTATATGACTTACGGATCCAGTTTGATTTCTAAAATCTAGAGACTTTTGGAGTGTATTCTCGGCACAGAAAACAGTTGCTGCTTTTAAAATCTGAAATTTTAGAGGAAAATATTTTTTTATTGATTGCTGCAATTTAGTTGAGTAGTTACGTTTTGTAGAAATAAAATAAGATGGAACAGTAATACTAGCTAGATGGAAGCATTCAGCTGAGCAAGAAGGGAAAGATGATATCTGATACCTGCTATAGTATAGAACAAGGCTTTATTGCTAACTTTATAATCAAATCAAAACTTTAAAGATAAAGGTTTTAAGTCAGATCTTTTTTTCTCTCTTTCTACCTTGCCTTAAATAATTTTTAAAAAGATTAATTGAAATAGTAGCCAATACTAATTTAGCAATAAACTGGTTAGAGTGCTAGGCAAAGGATCCTATAAAGTTAAAAAAAATTGCATAATTTCTGCATTCCTTTCATTTTAAAACACAGCCACCTGTTACTTTGATTCAAAGTCAGTAAATGTGTGAAGGATAGTATAAATCTTTTGATTTAGTCTGTGTGTTATATATCTCCTTCTTGTGTCATATAAATGTTCTTTCCCAATTAGTTTGACCACATGAATAATGTCTACCTTTCAACTTAGGTTTCTCCTGATGGGTTACACATTCACCAAGAAGCAGTTTGAGATTCTGACCAGGTTGCATTCAGCAAAAGCCACATCTCTTCTACCCACATACGCCATGTAAATTACGTTAAATGGCTTGATGAAATTTAAGTATCTGTTTCTTTTCTGAAATCTTACATTGTTATTCTATATTATTAGCAGGAAAAGTTTCCAAACTATGTACGATCTTGATAATTGTCAGATTGGAGAATAATGAGGGAAGCCAAAACTTCTGTTTCATGTGTTAGTTTATTTTAGATACAATTTCCGGCAAAAGTGTGTCCAGTTTTTTTCTTTGACATTTTGCAGCACACATTTTTTAAAAATGACAGTTGTCTTACTTGCATTTTAATGGCTTAAAAGTGCTTTTTTGAGATTAACCAATTTAAAAATATTTATTTTCATTTGTGACATCCTATTCTAAGCTTTTCATCTCTGGAAACTAGACTTGCATTACTTTGTAGCATTTCAAACAAAGGGTGTGACACATAGTCAGCTAATGGACCCTTTTGTTAAAAACAAGCACATTCTGCCTGATCTTTATTTACAAGTTAAAATATTTGTAGTTTTGAAATGTCAGACTCCTGCATTATTATTTATTAACTCCTTAAGTAGTTCCATTCCTGCACTATTAGCATCTGAGGCTGAGGAGTTTATATGTTTTACAAGTAGTAGTTCCTCACAGTAAAAATCACCACAGTCTAAGGATAAATCATTTGAAGGCTATATATAACATCTTGCTACTCTCTTTCAGTACCTTAGTAATTTCACTCCTGTGTCTCTTTCAGCTCCTGGCATTTCTTGATGGAATTCTTGAAAATTTAAATATAATTACAGGGTGTGGCCATCCTCTAGTATGCAGAAAAGTGCACTAGACTCTGGGTTACATTAACCAAAGAGAAAAAGAGCACTGTGCGCTCATGATCAGGAGAGTGCAGGTGATTGTGGTACGTAGAAGACATTAAGGCAGAACGAAGCAAAACACTTCAGTCCCATGGCTGAGCAAAAGGAGCAGTCTAAAGTGGGGTATTCCATGAAAACTCAAGTGAAACTAGTCAATATATAGGCTATCGGGTTGTGGAAATCCATTGTTTAATGAAAAATAGATGGAAAATGGATAAGCCATATACTGGGTTTCCTGGCAGTAGTGCAAGGCAGGGGAGGCATCATAAAATGGAGCCTGTCTTTTCAAGTTTTTTATTCATGGTTAATTTAACAGAGACAAAGGAACTGTAATCCCCTCAACATATAATATTATAATATACTGATAATATATAATAAAATATTATCAGTAAGTCTCCTTCTATACTCATACTAAGAACCATGCACAAGCCACTGTGCCGATAAATTTTATTAGTAAAGATACATTTTTGTTTGTGAAGATAAAGAATGCTAAAATGTATATAGTAAATGATGAGGGAAAGTTCAATCAAATGCAGAACCAAGATACAAGGATATTGGTGGTCAGCGTAAGCTGACGTAACAGTCACAATGATCTGAAAGGAATGAG